TATATGTTTGGTTAGGGTGAACAATTGCTGTCTAGGTACTTTGGACAAGTGAGCTCCAGGTTGTGGTCATGTTGCATCCTCATGACGGCATGGGCAGAAGAAAAGATGGACCACATTTCTGATTGGCACAAGATCACTCAATTTGAAGGTTGATTGCTCGAGAGTCCGTATTCTTTGGCTGGTGTTTGTTGTTCATTTGCCGAAACAAATGTGTGTGTGGCTTCCTGGAATGCACGAAGGAAGTTGGGTACATGTATGTTGGTTCTTACACGAATTCGGCTTGCGGAGATCATGCCCCCAAGATGCACAGAGTGGTGGCCCTGGCTTGCACCAATTCACCGCAGGGACTCCAGGCCTTTGCCCCGAGATCCACCCCGTCATGCAACTTTTGCCTGTACTAGTAGCGTTTGCCTGACTGTTGTTTGACTCTGGTGTTTGAGTCCAAAAAAACGAGCCGGACCTCCAAAAGTTGGATTTAGGGTTGGCCCGCGCAGCTGGGGCTACCACTTTGTTTCCGGCAAGGTGTGCTTCATCCACAGTGTTGGTATCAGTTTGGCAGGACCGGCTCATTGCGTTGGCCCGTCCTGCGGGCGCCCAAGAAGACGGATCGCGAGACAGAGGAGTTACAAACCCTTGATTCACGGTGAATGAAGCGGGGGGCCTTCCGCCCCCAGTAACATGGGTAGTAATGCGTATCTCACTCTCAAGGGAATCCTTCACTTCTTCGCAGAGCATTCATCCGCCAGGGTGGTGTCAAAAGATCGGCTGCCACCCACCATAAAGCCACTAGAAGCCATCGGGAAACACACGCTAGTCCATGAGGCAGAGCTTTCTCCGGCCTGGCAGCCCAATTTTATAGAACTCTTTTGCGCGGAAAGAAGTATTCTGGCCGGTGCTTTACGCAACACACGTTAGAGTGTGGGGCGCCTGTTGGAACGCATCAAGCGATCAAAGGCACCTAGACTGTCAGTGGAGCATTGTTTCGGATTTGCTCCATGCACAGTAGACTCTGTATCTTGCCTTAGCTTGGCAATGACCCAAGCTATTCTTTGGCATACCGACTAGGAGCACGGCGGATGTCCTTGTGGTTTTCCCTTAAACCGACCTGCAAAGGCATCAACAACACACACACACACATACAAACTGACACACTAATCAATTTCGAGTGACAACGTGTCGACGTTGATGATGAGTCCACGCTTGCCCCCCTGTTGGCTAGCTTGGGCTCAGGTCGCCGCCATGTGCCCGTGCCCCCTGCTACAAGAACAAATGGTGATTCCGGGGTTGTACTGGAACTCGACACACCCACACCCATTGCCCAACGATTGGTTACACAGGAGTCCACCATTGGGTGTACCTTTAAATGCCCACCAAAAGAGGAACCAGGTACCCTTAAAAAACACCTCAAAAAAACAAAAACGCGGCTCAGGTGATGACCTTCCGGAACTTCTTTCTTTTCCATTTGCGCGGGCCCTCGGGCAGCGAGTACAGACACGGGGGAAAACGTGGGCTTGAGCGAACAGGGGATCAGTATGGCAGGCTTTGATTGTGTGCATGTGTCCAGGTCCGGAAGAACGGTCCAATTTTTTTATTGCTGTGCGTGGTTTAAGTGGGATGATGCTTAGGGAGACATGGGGTTTACTGTAGAAGTGCGGTATTTTTGTTTAAGCAACACCGTTTTGGCTGTGTGTTTCCCAAAATTCCTTGTGAATAGGGTGATGTTTAAGGGGAAGTCTAGAGAGATGGGGATCAGCGTAAGGCACACACCGCGGGTGTTGTTTGCAGCTTCTACCCCATGTTTTACCTAGTGCCCCCACTTTACTTGTAAAGACAACCAGACGAACCACCCTTAAACTAAAATACGAATGGTAGCAGCGTCCTTTTTCGACTGGCTGGGTGTAGGAATAGGGGAGTTAGTTGCGCGTTGTCCCAAGAGGGACTGCGTTAGGAAAATTGCCCCAAATTGAGTCTGCCAAAAGAAAAAGGCTGGATAATGGCTACCGCACGGCATCTGCTGAGCACCGTTCAGTAGCATTGCTGGGCCTTGGGTTCCTCAGCTGCCGAAAAATATCTAACCATGGTCAATCCCGAAAAGGGTCACCTTTTGGTCGGGGAAAAACCGCGCTCAATTCAGCCACGGGCCCGGAGGTGGCTGCGTGGCTGGGTGTCAAGGACTTCCAGGTGAAGTTGTTTTGCAATGAAGCTTTCTGACGTGAATAGACATGCAAGTTGCCCTAATTAAGCTTCATCACTATCCTAATCTTCATTTTTATGCCTACCAGGAGGATCTCCTTCTAGGTAATGTGTGGACAGGTGCCCATAGGCCCAATAAAGGGATCCTCTCCCGTACAGGACAGCTTCCCGAACTCATGTACGGAACAGGCCCCTTTTCCCAGTTTGGGGTTGGGATTTTTGGAAATCGAGGGTCGGAATGTCTGTCATTGGAATACCACCGAGAGCAGCGTACCTCATCTTCTGAATGTGGAGGCCGGATTCATTTTTCCACTGGCTCGGGAACGTTCCAAGCTGCCTTTTCATGGAAGCTGCACCGTGTCCATTGGGTGATATAGGGCGACGTGTCAAATATGAAGGTGGTTTCCGCTTGAAAAGGCCCGTTGCACACTTCTCCCAGTGGGTCGCCAGAAAAAGGTGAAAGGCCCCGGTTCCCATCAGCGGGCAGGAAACACACCAAGAGCTTCTTGCACTCGAGGCTGCGCTTTTCGGGGTGTGAGTGGCGGTGATTGGAAACCGGTTTCATCCGGGTCCCTTTGCAGGATCTGGGCTTCTATTTGGGTGGGATCTTTAAGCTTTAACCCTTTGGCAAAAATGTGCATCTTCCCATTTGCCAACCACAGAGCTATCAATGTTTTGCTTCCCGTTCAGTTTCCACATGTTACGCAAGTTTTTTTTGCTGTCAGGTTTCTTCATTGATTGTCCAAGGGCAAAACGCCGAAGTGCTTGAACTTTGCTGGCCAGTCAACTCAGCAGATCAAGGACCGCCCGTTGGTTTGAAAGGAGTAGGGCAAATGCACCCCTTGCACCGCCCAAAGGGCCATGACAGTTGGCCCTTGTGCCAATGCGGCTGTTTTGGATGCTCTCATTTCATTGATGTCAGCTCAAGCTTGATACATTCCTGTAGGCCAAGCAGGAGCACGGTTTGTCTTTTGACTACCACCCTCAAGACATGTTATACACCTCTAGGAGGTTCTGGATTTTCCCGAGTGTCCAAAGGCAAACCTCGATATGCGGTGGCGGACAAGTGTTGAGGGAATCGGGAGTTGCTCTAAGTATGGTCCTCCGTGTTTGATTCCAACGGATCCTACAAAACGGTTCTCCTGTCATGAAGCGCGGGTGAGAGGTGGGGGGGGCGGGGAGGGGTAATTGGGAAGCGTCGATTGACGGCGCGCAAACCTCTACCCTGGCGTTTTTTCCCAACGCCAAGTAGATGATTATGGTACTTGTTGTTGTCAGTTTAGCATGCCTGTCAATGTGATGCTACGCTTTTCTTGACGTATTCTAGGAATTCAAGTCGTCACCCGATCTGATGTTAGACTCAGTGTGAGCTATCCGCACGTAGCCAGCCAAAAAAGGGAACCACCCCTGAGTACAGCCCGGCGGAGTAGTCCGAGGTTGAAATTCAAGGGTGCCAAAAGGGGATACCTCTTTTCGACCCTTTGTCAACACCTTGCAAAGGAACAAATGGCACACGTTTCGTCCAAAATTGCGACGCATCCTTGTCCTAGCAACCCTCATGAGTATAAGGCCCCAGTAAGTTAAACATGTTTCTCTTGTTATGACTTAGTTTGGTTTCAAAGTACGCACCACAACCCTTACACTAAATTAAATGAGCTAACCTTTATGGTGCTCGAAAACCCCACAACCATTACGTTTTGCGATATTCCCCAATAAGGCCCCCACACAACCCCACATCAATAGATAGATGGTGCAATGTGCTTTATTTGGATAAAGGGGAAGACTAAGCCCAAATAGGCGTACCCCACATCAACTCCATTTCAGACTCGGATAAACCCCGCCTTGGTTTTAGGGCTTCTTCCAACTGGCAAGGGCCTAAGGCCCAAAAGTCTAAGGGTTGATTTCCCATTCTTTTCAGCCATCGTTCTTTGCGACAACCAGCCATTTCCCCTGGGTTTTTGGTGGTTTTCTAGAAAGAAGGATCCCTGGAAAGAACGGGGAAGTTACCCCTAGAAAAAGTGTCTACTGGGGCCTCTGGCGGGGTCCCAGGCGCCGCAGGGGCGGGTCCCGCGAGGCTCCGGAAGCGCCTGGACCACTGGCAGCAGCAGATCGGCAAGGCGCGCAGGAAGCGGCAGCAGGCAGGGGATGGGTTCGAGACGCGCGTTTGTTGTTTGGGGAGAAACGCGCTTGCCGTTTGTTGCTTTTGGTTTGCCTTTGAGTCTTCCTGAAAGGGATAGCTTCCACAAAACATGCCCCTCCTGCTAGGGTTTGCCTTTCAACCACCGTAGGAGCGAAAGGCTTCTACACTTTTAGCCACTATCAAGATAGTTATACTACAAAGGGTATACAACCCGCATTCCCTTTGAGGTGATTTGTCATGGACATCCCCTTGATTGAAGCAGCATACTCTTGGTTGTTACATGGTTGTCTCCAGGTTGGCCCTTGTTTGCACCTCAGACTCTATCTGATTTCCTGTGCGCACCCAGTCAGATTCCAGTGAATCGACGTGACCGTAGAGTCCCGTGACCGGGAAAGAGACTCCACATGGAGCTCTGGGTTTCTCCGAGCCCCAAACGACCAAACGTCACCAGGAAACTCGGTTTGGCTCCTTTAGCCCTGGACGCAAGGCCGGATGGAGGGATTATGGCAGGGTGAGCCTGCCAGCTGCCAAACAATGGCACGCATGAGAATGTGTGAGTCTTCAGATTCCAAGACCCCTTGCAAAATTCACTAGATTGGGATGCTTATTATGTGACCTGTTAGAAGGTGCATATGGAAAGACTGGTGCAGTCTGAAAATATAGCTGGTCGGTCTCCGCCTTTTTGCACGCTTCCTTGACTGCTGCCATGTCCGGCTCAGAAAAAAGGGGCCGCCACACGCACACAGACAGGGACAGCCGAGCAGCCAAGGCCGGACCGGTCTGCAGCTTGGGTTCTTAAATGGGTGCGAAGCAGCCCACATGTGTATTATTTGCCCAAACGGAAACCAACAGGGGCTGGGTATTTTTTTATCACTTTGTGCAGACCCCCGATTGAACACCCAAGTTGGTTGCATGTTGCATGTTGCTATCCTTTTCCCTGTGCTTCCAGTTCCGTCATGTAAGAGGTAAAATCACTCAGTTTTTGTTGTAGTCTGATGCCTGGAAGCACTGAGGCCAAACAAATTCTCTTTGTATAAACACCAGTTGTTGTGTTGTGTGCGTGGTTTTTGAGGGAAAGCAACAGAAACACCATGTGGGCCCGCTACCATTTGGGTCCTGAAGGGTACCCTCGAAAGACACCGACTGAAGGTCATGGCACGCCGCGCCCCAGCGCTGCTTCTCTTGGTCGCGCACTGAGAACCACATCAGACTTAGCGTTGGAACCGTCATGCATTTGGGGTTTCCTGCATGTTTGGGGTTCGGCCAGTGAACAAGTATGTTTGTTTGCAGGGAGTTGCAGTCTAGCCACTTTTGTGTTGTTGTTTTTTTTTCCTCTTTCCGGATATAGTGAATTGCAATCAGTCGGAACATGGACCCAATGTGTACCTTCAGGAGAAACACTAGGGTCCTCTAAACCTTTTTCCCAGGCAGCTGCTTGCCTTCTCTATGGCGCACTGAACGCTTTTGTGGCTGCAGGAACACAGGCGCGGCTGGTCGGATGGACCGAGCTACAGGTTTTTTCTCATTGCCTTCACTGTGGATACTCCCAAGAAGGTTGTGGCATTGTGACGGTTTGCTTTTGTGGCAGCTGTTTCTAAATGATGATCGAGCCACCGCGAGGCCATGTGCCCATTGTGCTTTTGATGATTCATCGAGCTGCTTTTGATAGGGGACGCAGGCAAAGCCACCAGGCCCCACTTCCATTTGCTCAAGGCCATGACTCTTCGTAGTGTTTTTTTGTTTTTGTGAAAATGAGGAACCCGTCCAGAGTGTGTTGTTTCTCTTATGCAGTGTGAGGCTCCAGAGACACAGGTTGCAAGCATCGCAGAGGTCGCTTCCCCTCTTGATTGTGACACAAAAGACTGGCATTTCACCGCTCCCCCTATATTTGGGTTCATGACACAGGGATGTGGACCCAACAAAAAATGTGTGTTCCTTTTGGTTTTGCTTGAAACAGTCGCCTCAAAAAACGCACACCTTTTGGTCGATAGTGCTTGATGGGTTTCCTCCCACAATGATTTTCTTAAGGCAAAGAACCGTAAACCAGCCTTGGTCTTCCAGCGAACCTGAAAAACAGCAGGGTCCCGATTCCCTTGTGTCCTTTCGTCCCAATTCCCTTTTGTCCTTTTGGTTTCAAATGGAAGATCAGCCAAAGGCCTGCCTTCAGGATAGAAACGAACAGCCAAACCATGTTGGGGAGGAGGCTTCCTTTGAAACCAAGAACCAAACAAAGGGTGCCCCTTGTCCGGTTCAAATTTTGGGTGTATTTAAGTGATTAGCTAACAACATAATATAAAGCAACATAACTTGTGTATGATTCAGATTGAATCTGAACATGTTTACCAAGTATACTTAAGTTATTAGCTAATCATTAATTTCCCGGTGGCCACAGGAGGACTGGGAAATTTGCCTTGATGAATCTTCCAAAGACTTTGAAAAGCAGGGTCTGTGATTTGTGGTTTCAAATGCAGGATCAGCCAAAGGCAGCTGCTTTTTAGGAAGGTGACCTTTGGGCTTTTTCTGTAGTGAATGTCACAGAGAGACAGTGTTCAGAGACCTAGGGTTTCAGACGCCCCTTCGAAAGTTCTACGAATCTGGAGGGTGGGCCATTGGTTTTCTGCCCACGTTGTACTTGTTTGACGCGCAAGTGAGATATTCCTGTATTTGACTGTCCATTCTGCCTGAACTGTTGACTCAGTACTTGTGAGTTAGTATTGTATTTATTTATTTATTCGTGCTGTTCTTCCCACCCAGGTGTTTCGAGCCAGTGAGCTGTTTGTTTGAAGGTTAATTGGCTATGCTTGGTCATCTCCAAGAATCTCAGGTACAGAGCCTAAGAACGTGGGGACACCCTGCAAGGCCGCCTATTGTTTACAAAGAGGCTTACCCACCAACGAAAACCAGAGGTCGCCAGGTTCATACCAAGTCAGGTGCTACATTCAACTGGTGCCTGTGGATCAAGGTTTGGGACCCAAAGCACTGAAACCTCAGCAAACCTAAGTTGGGATCTGGGGAGGGATGCCCTGAGCAGGCCACAGGCCCCCCCCCCCCCGAGATAATTTGGTTTGATAGCTGCTGCTGCTGCTGCTGCTGCTGTGGCACCATCCACTTCGGACCAGTGGGTGTATCCCAGTATGCAAATCGGGCTTTAAACATGTCTATTTGCAAGACGGATGTTGTCCACCCACAGTACCCCAGAGCCTCATTCTATTTCTTCAATATGAGTGCACTACTTAATAGTTTGCCCTTTTTAATCCTGACTTGTGGTGTTGAAGTCCTTACCCTGCAACTCATCCTGAAGAAAAGGCGCGTGCTCATGGCAACTTAAGTCCTAGTTGCTCACTTTGCAGGTGCCTCGAGCACCCGCGGTGTCCATGAACTTCTTCCAGAAGGCGCGCCCGAAGACCCGAAAATTCGAGCGGCTTCGAAGGCGGCCGAGAAGAATTGGCGCGGCAAGCCAACTCAGAGTCGGCAAGAGAACAGGTTCCAATCAAAATTGTGAAACAGACCCCAAAGCTCAAGCCAGGTCAGTTAAACCAGCTGATATTTGAAGATTGAACGGGGTCGCGAGCCTCCCCGAGTGAAGGACAAAGATCAAAACTCAACACGCTGTATTACAAAGTCAAATGGGTGTGGGTCAAAATTAATCCACCAGGGGACCGCAGGTTTTAGTCTTTGGTTCCATTTACCAGGGTTCCGTTTTGGGTGCCTGTTTTTGACCTACAGCCAAATCTCGACCCATTGTTCTTTGGGGAAGGGGGGAAATGTACCTTGGGGTGGCCCATTAATCAGGGATGCTTTCTTTCAAGCCACTTGTGCTTGCGGCTGCAATCCTGCTAATCAAAGAGCAATTCCCCGTTCAGGCTTCGTTTAAAGGATCCTTCGATTGTTGATGGGCTCCCAGGCAAGCCACTGTAGCGAACTAGTTGGGAAACCCCTTGAAAACCAGAAGCCTGGACGATTCTCCGATTGCTTACTACCTGCATGAACATCTGCAATGAAGTATACCCACTATTTGCCTGGGAGCGGAACTGAGTGCTTCAGTTTACTCCCCTGGACTCACTGATTGAACCGCGTCCCATGGATCCGGGCACCGAGCCTCGCCTTCAGGAGGAGCCGAAGCCCACGGAACCGCCGCCGGAAAGTGGCCCCTCCTTCGGCGCCTCGGAAGCGCAGGTCTCCCATCTAGGCGCCCTTTTATCCTTCTTGTTTTTTTTGGGGGGAGGGTTCGAACCCCTACCGAAATAGACTACAGAAAAAAGTTGGTACCAACTTATTCTAATCTCTCTACTGGATGGACCTAGAAGCTGCCCGGGGGAGGGTTGGAAGACCACTGTCCTTGTCCACTTTCCATGATAGGGGGTACAGGTTCCAATCAGCCGAGTGCTATTCAGGCTCTGAGTTTTAGAGTTGGAGCCACCTCACAATGAGAGTCTGTAATTCATTGCCATTGGAGCCGCAGTCAAACACGGGTTAGTGAAGGCTAAGGGGCAACCCCAACCATAGGTACAGCCTCCCTTTTGATTCACGTGATTTGTGGTAGACTTCTTTGGTGCCAGGTGTTGTTTTCGTAACACCTTGGCTTTTCTAGGTGTCCCTCCCAACCGGTCAGCTTGGAGTACGATGACATTTTATTATGGTCAAGCGTGAAACATCTATATCGTCCATGCCAGGGACACTGCTGGTGTATCAGCCATTCATAGGGTTGTATTCGTCCATTTGCCGTCCGCAATGCCATTCTAATTGTAGCGAGTAACAATAAGTCAGCGCATTGATGCTTATGGTGCCCCACCCATTTTCAGAAAATCTCAAAATGTGTGCTAAATGCACCTATTAAGCTGGGTATGCTCTTTGATTGTTGCTAACTAGCATGCGGACGGGTTTCGCAAGACCCCTTGGTGGGATGGATAAGATTGCCAAACCTCGTCCCAGAGGCTTGAACGTCAAGGGGAATGCACGTTCCCTTTGGATACTTTAGACATATAGATGATGGAGTTTTGCTCCGTCACGCTTTTCATCCAGGGGGAGGGATTCCATGAGCTGCTCCGAACCTCTTAGTTGATCAAGAACCCAAAAGTTGAGCCGTTTCCGTTGGATTCCCTCCGCCGAATTTTCGACCCGATCGGGTCTTAGCAACCCTAGTTCCCCAGTCAGAAGGGTTTTCTGGCAGCCCTTTCTGAAGCAACGGAAAAGGGGTGCCTGCTCTTTCTGAGACAAGGGCCGAAATTAACAACGGTCGATATGGCTGTGGCCCAAAAAACCGGTACCCAAAATGGAACCCTGGCAAGTGGAAACATGGACCAAAACCTGCGTATCCCCTCCTGTTGAATTTTGAGCCACAGCCATATGAATCTACTCACCAAATTGCGAAGAGAGCCCGAATACCGAGTTCCAAGCTGACAATGAATTTCAATAGGGAACCACCCTCCAAAGTCGTTGGACATAAATCCCAACCAAACATGTCCACCAAAGCGTCCCCCATCGAAAGTCATACCCATGTCATTGAAGTGGATGCGTCAAAGCTGTTTGGTTTGTGCAGCTCGGCTCAGGTGATGGCCCAATCTTCGCGGCGCGGCACTTGGTCCATATGCCACGGGAAGGGGTCTTCCTTCTGGAATCAACCACCCCGTTGGAGTCTACCTTGAGTTGGGGCTTGGGGATTCTCTTGAACTTCAAATACCAAAAAAGTTGGGTGGTCCCAGTTAAATCAAGCAGCCAGAATCTTGGGAGTTTCCTTTTAAACTCGACCATCAAGAGAAACAAGTTAAAGGGTTCTTTTTAATTCAGCTGCCCAGACACAGATTGGTTTCTTCAGACCCAACAAAGTCGTCCCCGTTGTTTCCCCAAGATCGGCGCTGTGCTGATCCTGCTGCCCTTCCTGATCGCCGGGCCGGCGCCGGAGAACGCCAACGAGACGCTGGTGAGACAGGCGCTCGGTGGAGTTTTGACGGGAACTCGGCTTCTGTTTCGGGCGCCATAAAAAGCCCAGAAGGTTTTTAGTTGTTTTTGTTCTTTTTCAGAGGGCGGGTTTTGCAAGCATCGGAGCTGTAAAACTACCGTATCATTTCTGTGAGCACCCCTTCTTGTTTTTTAAGGGGACACTGTTCAGGCTGGTTGAAAGGGAAACAAAGTCAATCCAGCCATTTTGTGATGGGTTTCCCTATTTCGAGACTTGTATTGTTTATCAATTGTTCCAGACCGTCTGCTTGACACCCAGGAAACTACGGAACCAAGAAGCACGTGTCATGCTTGCCTCTTTGCTCTTCGAGCTAAACATTAGCTTTGGCCTTTGCCACCATAGTCGGTCGCCAGCCATTATCCTTTTTTGTTGTTAGTTAGGGTAGTCCCCTTGCTTTGTTTCTTCCTTCTCCTGAATGTGGCATGGGCTTTTCTGTCCGCTCTCGCTGATTTTGCCATGGAACCTGACGAAAAGGGGGTCCCCTGGTTTGGACCAAATGTGAGAAAGCTTCACTCGAAGCGTGTTTTGGTTTGGTGGGGTACCTACTAGATATGGGGGTCCAACTCTACCAAACCAACCCAAAAACAGTGTTAATTGGTTGTTGGTTTTTGGTTTGTTCGTTTGATATGGAATTCGCCAACCAAAAAGTCCAGCTCTACCGGGGTTATTGGGCACTGGTTCTGAAGTTCTGTCATTTGGGTGCTGAATAGTTAGGGCCTCCGCCACGCCGCAGAAAGTGTCGCATCACCCTGCGCGTTCTGAAGTTCTGCAATCTCCTTCCTACCCGCGTTGCCCTGGAGCCTGACCGGGGTCCCTGGTTTGGACCGTGCTCCTCCAAAAGGGACCTTCTGGCGGGTTGCATGTTAGTTGGTGGGAGTGTAATCCGTGTGCCACATCGCCCATGAATTATTCCAGTGATTCCGTTGAAATGTGCAGTAGGTGCTTATTAGTGTTTCAAAGACAGATCAAACGGAAGCCAAGGATATCGAAGAGGGTCCCATTTGGGGGTACCCTTAATTGAACTCAAGCCCAAATGAACTTCGGTCGGCCAGGAATCTGAGAGGGCTTCCTCTCCATTCTGATCGGCTCGCGCTCGCGCTGCGGGCGTTTGATCCCACAGCGCTCGTTGATGCGCTCGCGCCGTTTTGGGTGCCCGATCGCATATCACGCCCCTGCCCAGCGGGTTCTATTTGGCATTGGAATGGGGTGGGTGTTCCAAAATGCCAGCAGCGGCGCTTTGAACCTTCCCTTTGGTGCATTTCGCCAAGGGATGTTAGGACTTCAACTGTTTTTGGCCAACGAATGGGTTTTCCGTATTAAACCACTAAAAGTTTTGTACTTTTCGCAGGGCTTCGCAGAAAGCAACCGAGTTCCCTTCGTGTGCCCTGGCTCCTCCCAAAGCGCTGGGCAGGGGCCTCTCGATCGCCGGGAGCTTTCGGCCGGCTCACCGGGGAAAAAGATCCGCGAGTCGGCGTGGGCGAAGTGTGGGCGAGATGGGCCTGCCCTCCGTCCCAGCATGGCGTTGGATGGAAGGTGGATTGGGCTGATCCTCCAAAATGGGAGGGAGGGAGGGGCGTTTCACCGAACCAAAGGACACCAAGCCCCTTTTTGGGACCCCTTGTAATTACAGTGCCCTGTGATTGGTCATTGGTTGCGAACACTCCCAACCTGACATGCCCCCCGAAATCGAAAAGCAAGTTGTTCTTGGTTTCGATGTTATGAGGAACGGTAAGCAACCTTCACTTCAGGCCGCTTCGAAACTTCAAACCCACTCCGGGTGTATGTGGGTTTGATGCTTGGCTTCTTGGGTTTGTTTTTATTTTCCACGCAAAGGTGTATGTATATTGGCCTTTCTCGAGCACGGCCACCACGTGCTGCTTGAACTACCCCAGGCGAACATCCGAAGATCAGGTCCACTTCGGATGTGTGGTTTGGCTGCGGGTTGCAGCGGGTTGTTTTACACAAGTTTCGACCCCACGAATTTAGATATTGCCATACATAGAACCGCATGTGGGATCTCTTTGGCATCTGTTATAAACGTAGACCATCGCAATAAGTTGTAGCAGCCTCATGAAGGGGTCCCATGATGACATGTCTGTTCGTTTGTGCGTCAAAGTACTCAGATTGAAACGAGAGAGGGAGAGACAGAGAGAGAGAGAGAGAGAAAGAGATATTGAAAACCATTGTGTTTCCCTTCAAAACCCAGCACGACTCATGTATGGGCTTTGAACATCGTTCCCTTGAATTTGTTGGTTCCTGATGCAGATCCATCTTCACTCATAGCCCGTGAAAGCTTTGTTCTGTTTTGGATCCTTTGGACAGGTTACATCTACACTTCCTCCAACAAGTTTCCTTGTTGATACTGGAGACAGCGAAACAGGAAGCCTTGAAGTGAAATAGGAAGCCTTTTTCTGTTTTCGTTTGGTGAGTGCCCCACTAGAAATGGTCAAGCACAAAAACTGTTCTCGGTTTCTATCTGGGTTACATGTACACAGGGGCCCCTATGCAGCTCAAAACCCTACTCCTTGGACCAATTCTAAATGTGTTTCCTTTTGGGTGAATATAGGGAGCCCTGATACCTGAAAGCCTGTGCTTTGAGGTTCCTCTCCGAAGGTCTGCAATTGTCACCAAGGCGTTTTTTCGAGGTTCCTATCACCTTCAGGGCCAATTTTGAGAGGGATTCCTTTTGGTGGGGTGATGTTCAAAGGGGAAATGCAGGCGGACAGGGTCGCCTCTCCCGGCCTTCCTGGCCAAATCTGTGCGTTGTCTATAGGTGAGGGTTAAAGGAGTCATAAAGAAATGTGACGAGCCGCAAAGGCAAGTTGCGCACCAAAACGGCAAGCCAGCAGCATCATGTCCCATGTTCGATCTTGACCGTGTGATGGTGTCTTTTCTATTACTCCCTTCAACCCCATCTAAACCCCCCAAAAGGCACCCTCAACAAAAAGACGCGCTTAAAAATGGAAGCCCCTGCTTGTCCTCGGAGTATTGCCCATCCTTTGCAGGAAAAACGGCGCTTGGTCAGCGGCAAGGACGGGATATCGACGAAAGTCACCGGATCGGTGAAGGACCACCCATTGAATCTCAAGGCTATGAGCACCCCCCCCCCACCCCCGCCCAAACGAAAAAGGCGCACCTCCTTCTCTTTTCTGCGGCTTGACCTTCTCTCTTTACTGCGGCTTGAGTTGGCAGGTAAGATCACTGAGCTTCAAGAAGGCAGCCCATTACTTGTAAGCTGCAGCTCATGTCTCCAGAGCAACAATGAATTTGATCAGAGCATGGCATGTATTATGCCCACTCACAGTCTGATTCTTCCCTTCGGCGACTTATATGATCTCTCACTCGCCCAAATCCGACCTGCTGACCTTTCGGTTTTCCAAGATTTGTTGATCCTTGGTTAAGCGGGTTAAGCTTCCAAAGCTTAAGCACCCTAAGCATCACTGGACCCTCCATTGGAGAGGTCTGGATCTCGTCTTAAGATTCTTGGGGGCGTCTATTTCAATTTCCTCCCAAGCTTCACAATGCTCAGTCAGCGAGCGAGGAGTTTGTGCCGCCTTCGCGCTGAGCCGATGTTTCGTTTCGCTTCGGACTGGAAAAGAGGATGTGAATCCTGCGAGCCGCGTTGAGCTTCCCATCCAGTGGTGCCATTGTGTTTCTTGTTTTGAAAGAGATCCTGCAGTTGTCAAGGGATCATGATGGCTTCTGTTGTGCTCTACCGCAAATGAATCTATTCATCGTGTCCAATCAAGTCCGCTGACTTGAAACGCGGGGACCAGGTATTGCAGACATGCGCATACTTTCAGCCAGCAGTTTGTGCTTGCTTTCTGTTGTATGTCTCTTCTAGAAGCATGTGCTCAATTCGCTTGCACTTTTTGACTGGCTCATGTGGCAATTGGTGCAGCCCGCTATTCCGCATCAACTTTTACCCGCCGCGTCTGAAGCTGGCTCAACCCAAAGACAGGTTGTGCCGCCAAGCAAAGCAGAATTCGACAACCATGACCCAAGTCTTGGGCACATATCAGTTGCAAATGACTCGGGCGAGCTTGGGTTGTGTATGGGAATTTGTTGGGTTACTAAAGAGCGAACCACAAATCATCAACGCATTGTTGCCGTTTTGGTGAGGGTGTTTTCATTCATTCATGAACACCTATTGGGAAACAAACAAACTGGCCCCCAGCAGGAGGTTGGTTCTTTTATAGAGGAAGGTCTATTTTTTTGCGGGCAGACGGGCCAACCGCCTAGCCAAAGCATCCAAGCCACCAGGGAAAGCCATGACTGGATTTGCGGGACGGCTGCATTAGCTTCACAACACGCGACCTCACCCGCGAAGGCTCTTTTCACTGAAACCCTTATTTTCATATTATCAGAATGGTGTGAATCACGCGGATTTAATGTTGTTTGGTGTATCTTTGATCTACAGTGTGCTTTGCTGTGCTTTCAAAAGAGAGGACCCTCAAAATGGTTGTTGTTACTGGGTGTTCTCTATTCAAAAAACATGTGCAAAGTGATGGAAGCGGAACCACGCAATGAGCGTAGCGGCCATTGTTCTCTGCCAGTCCAAACTGGTTCAGGCTATGTTGCTTTCCTGGGTGCCAAGTGACGCAGGTGCCAAATAGAAACCATCATGTCCAATTGTTCAAAAGGAAATTGAAAGGGGAGGCCTGTGCTGTTCTTTGTTCAGCCGCTTTATTTAACGCTCGGCAACTCATACGTTTCAGCTTCGCCGAAAGGACAACACGATAAGATGGATATTTTGAGGTTGGCAGAATCAACAGCTATTTCACACCTAGCTGATTGCTGATGCTTTGTAATTAATTTGACAAAGCCGCGAGCTTTAATAGTGAGTGTAATCTACTCACATGATGATGTGGGGTTGACGGCTATGCTAATGAACATCTTTGGAGCTTTGATCACACTTACAGTGGATTCACTCAAAACACCATCAATTCAGATGTCATTCCTTCCATTGCCATGGGTTGGTGGCTTTTGACACTTCCTGTTTCCTTGGTAGTCCTGATGCTCAGCCGCTGTTCGGGGACCGGTTGCATACAGGCACAAACACTTTGCATGGTTGGGAAAGCGGGTGATGTTTTCAAACACATGTGAGTCACTGACACAATCACTTGTATAGTCAGTTTGAGGAGGACACAAGAGGGCCCACCAAACTTCCCACACAAACTGTCTTCTCCCAAGTCTCAAGGACGTCTTGCGGATTTCCAACTTTGTCCCGAGCTCATGAGCTGCGTGCCCAATGCAGCTTCGGGTCACTGTGTCATCCTGCTGCACAACACCCCCTTGAATTCCCAGCCGCACGGCTCCTGAGGCTTTAATATGTTTCAGAGCGAGGGATTTATGACCTATCCCACTGAACGAAACAAGTGTCAGGGCGCGAAGGGACTACCAAGTCTAGTTTTACAGTTGCGATGAGGGTCAGCTGCCGCCATTGCTTGCATTCGCTGTCCCTCAGGGGCAATTGCCTTTCTTCCAAAGATTGTTCTCGTCTAGCAGTCAACTCAAACTTTGCCGGGGGTCTTGGCCTCAGTTTAAAACCTCAGCTACATTAGTACCCTTTAGCCCCGGAAAATGCAGAACCCTTCCAAGAATCCTTAAGAAGCTAAGAACCTTTCCTGTGGGGTGCCTTTGGTTTCCTTCGAGCGGTGGCGCGTACGATTTAAACCCTTGAACTCGGGATTTTTCGACTGGCAGCCGGGGTTGCTTTCCTACTAACCACGAGGGGCTCTGATCTTTGAGTGGATTTCCCTGTACGGTTTGCCTGCCACCAACCTTGAGCTGCACCCTGGAAAGGAGTCAAACCCTTGAACTACCCGACAACAAACAACAACGAACAACGAACAACCAACAACCCTTCGGTGCACTCAGGACGCTCCGGCCAGTGGCTGGCTGTTGAAGCGCTGTCCAGTCCTGGGTGATGTCTGGCGTCGGCACTGGTGCGTGCTGGGCTTCGATGAGGACCCATTTGGAGATTCTCCAAAATGGCGGAGCCTCCTTTGCTTGGCATTTCAAGCGGGGGAACCAAAAGGAAACTGAAAGGAGATGGTAGATAAGAAGAACGGACCGATTTTTCATGGCATTTTGGGACCCTATGTTGAGAAGCCAGATGAGCCACATCCACAGAACAAAGTCTCATGAGCTCACCCAGTAGAACAAGTGATTCCGGGCCCCGTGATGAAGCTCCCTTGCCGGGGAATGCCTCAGTTTCCGGTTGTTGAACTGATCGGACACGGATGAAGATGTAAAGAGTTGGTGATTTATGATTGTAGTTTGCGCAGAATTCTGGGCTGTTCAAAAGCAAAATATGTTTCCCTTGGGTTGTGAAACCACTTAGTCCACTTTGCAGTGGTTTCCTCAGAGAGGATGCATTGCGGTTGGCCAACCCTCCCTTGTGAACAAGCATGAAGCTTGGAGAAACAGAACGGTCCGCTTGCCATAGGTGGAGCCCAAAGCCGCCCAATCGAGTCACATTTCAGGTAGACCATGGTAGACCTGTTTGGAACCAATGGCATTGGTTTGCGATCCCTTGGCTGAGGCAGGTCGTATAGACAGGACCCGAAGCACACAAGCGGCATTGCAGGGTTGTATCAACTGGTGTCGGTAAGGATGAGTTTGTTTGTTCTGGTCTTTTGATAACCGCGAGAAGCCGTTTCAGCTTGCGATGAGCGCAGGTGTCCTCCAAAGGGCCACGTGACCCAAACCAGAGTTTATCCGACGGCAAACCGATTAAAGCATTATCGGGTAGCTAGGGATCTGGGCTGGCAGCCAGTTGGGAGCCACTCGGACGAGTCCAACTTGGCATAGCCAGGGACTTTCCATGACTTTCCGCGTAGTTAAAGACCAGCCAGTCCTTTTTGTGACATATGTACATAATATATATATATATATATATATGTGTGTTGTTCGAGTTGCCATTCGCCTTTTCACCAGCCAATCCCCACTTTTGCCACACACACACAGAGACACGCAGCATGCCCACTCCCTACGTCGCCAGAGGAAAAAGCACAGTTTGCGGTAGAGGGTTTGGCCCAGCCCACGTTTTGCAGCCAGTTGGTGTCTTTTTGCTGGGATCTCTTTGACGTGATTGTGCATGTTAATGTTGCCAGACGTGGACCACAATCTATCCCTGCTGATGACAAACGCTGCAGCTGCCTTCTGTGGTGCTCTTTCAACTTGGACTGGCTGTGGTTGTCAAAACCAATGGGATCCCATTTTTGGTTGGTAGGTGAATTCCCCATTTTAGTCAGGATTTTAGTGGGAATTGGGATGTTCACTGGGGGTACAATTTGGATTTTGACCCATGGCCAACTCAAGGCAACCCACTCGCGTTGAGGGTTCCCATGAGACACCGCGTGGGTTCGTTCCGGAGAGGAAGAAGACACCTGGGTCTTGGATTGCCACGCGGAGAAGTCAAGGCGGAACGTGTGCTTGGCCTTGGGGATTGGCCTTTTGGGTTTCCATGTGTCAAACAAGCTAGGCCTATAGGGGAGTATAGGTTTCCAGAATATTCTGTTCTGATTGGGGGCTGGAGACGCTATCCGCTATTTGACCTCAGACTCACGCAAGCATATGTTCATTTAGGGTTGGCTGAATATGAAGCGAGAATGTGGCAATGTGATTTTCTGTATACCCCAGATTTGGGCTGCGAAAGGGAAGCAGGTTTGGCGAGTACAGGAGTTGGTCCAATGAGATTGATTAGATTGGTGAACTGAACAGCTCGACTTGGGTCAGGGTCGGGCTCTAAATGCACGCCAGGCACAAAACGCCTAAATGCAGGGCTCAAGACGCAATTTATGTTGATTGCTCAAGGGTTCTCCGAGCAAGATGATAACAACGCAGTAAATAATTGGCGAACGGTTACCATTCGTTTTCCTTCGCCAGGCACAAGATTTCGTAGAGCCTTATGAACAGTTGCTGATGATGCAAAGAGCTGGCTGGCGTCTCAGTCAGAGTTGGTTCCCCTGCGCACCAGGGAGGATGAACTTGACATCTTCAGAGGTTGATCATGTGTTGTCCGTGGCGCTACACGTTCATCAAATACATGTCCAGGATTATGTAAGGCTACCTGTGACATGAAGCGCCTTATCTAAGACATGATCTTTCATCAGCTAACAATCATGTGAAAGGGGCAACATATATCTGTGTTTACCCGCAAGTTCCCAAACTGGTCTTTTTGTCATGGGTACCAGTATCCTTCCGAGATCAAATTGGAGTAAACACGGTGTCAATATTATCCGCAGTAGACCAGGCTTGACCCGTCTTGTGATCGTCTACCTGTTTGTGCTCCTAGCATTTGTCATTGATCAGAAACATAAATCAGTGTCCCCCTATAAAGCCTGTGTATACCATAAGTATATGTATATATTTATGCACACCTTGCTCATCTACATATATGCAGACTTGTTCAGTTTCCTATTTTTGCCAGGAAGTTGGTGTACCACATCCCCTTGGGCATGGGTGCGCGGGTCCTGACCAAGCAGTGGCCGACAGCACCTCGGCCGCAAAAAGAGGGGCAACTCTGCCAAGGGGAGTCGGTGCTTGTGGAGCTTGGTTGCTCCGTGCCCAAGAGATGACCGAGCCCAAGAGTGCCAAGGTTGTATAGAATCCCTTTTGATTTCCCACCAGGCCTCAGGTTTCGACCTTTGTGCAACTTGGGTAGCCTGAGGCGAGGTTTTGCCACCGGCGCCGGAGAGTGGAAGGAATCCGCTCATCGTCTTTTTTGTTGTGTTTGTTTGTTTATTTGTTTGTTTGTTTGTTTGTTTGTTTTTTTTGTGTGTTTGTTTGTGTTTGTTTGTTTGTTTGTTTGTTTGTTTGTTTGTTTGTTTGTTTGTTTGTTTGTTTTTTTTGTGCGTGTGCGTGTGCGTGTGCGTGTGCGTGTGCGTGTGCGTGTGCGTGTGCGTGTGCGTGTGCGTGTGCGTGTGCGTGTGCGTGTGCGTGTGCGTGTGCGTGCGTGGGTGTGTGTGTGTGTGTGTGTGCGTGTGTGTGTGTGTGTGTGTGTGTGTGTGTGTGTGTGTGTGTGTGTGTGTGTGTGTGTGTGTGTGTGTGTGTGTGTGTGTGTGTGTGTGTGTGTGTGTGTGTGTGTGTGTGTGTGTGTGTGTGTGTGTGTGTGTGTGTGTGGGGGCTCTCTGCTAAAGAATGAAGCACCCGTGGCGGGCTATGCTTATGCAAGCAATTGAGGAGCCCAACACCGATTCCTATTGGCCTGTTTATTCGGTGGTTCGGTTCTTACCATGTCCACCAAAGATTTACCCAGGCGTCTATGAACCAACATACTCATTTAGTAGAACCCCGGGGTTAAATGGGTTTTGGTGGCTGCCAAGTTGCATTTTTGGTCGATGCTTTGAGGTTGCCACTTTCTGTGACTGGAAACCACACCAACTTTTCTATCACAAGGATCGAGCTTGGTTTTAAGGACCTGAGACGCAGACCCACATCCATTCAGGTAGATCCAAGTACATCCTCAAGTACGGGGTCTACCAGATAGATTGTTGGGCGAGCATCAAGTCAGCACACAAAAGGCGAGACTAAACCCGAGCCAGCACAACGATGCAAATCACGTCGTGCTCCGAGTCGTGCTACTTTGACGCAGTGTTTGATAGAATGTCACACATAGTCTCACTCTTCAGTCACCGGACTTAAACATGTTTGGAAGAACACGTTTCTGGGAAGCGGATGTCAGATTCTCTGCTGACCAATTCACCCAGCAAGTGAGTGGTCTATCTTTATGGTTAGCCTTGATTTCCAGCCTTTCTTGTCCAGTCCATCAGCAACCATGAAACGTCGATAAAGCAACGGCACACCATGGAGCAGCAAAACAACCCCTCTAGGAATGGATGGGGGGTTACATCCTTGTTTGCTTCTCCATGTCTCGTTACTTGGGTGTGCAAGAGGAACATGATTAACACATATGCATATATAATATAGATATGCACAACATTCCAAGAGGGGCATATAATTAATTAGATTGCCTCCAAAAATAGTTTGGGCATGTGATGTAGAGCGTTGTCAAAATCTAGTCTCTCTGCACCCTGCTCAAACATATTCAAGCCTCTCTGTGCACAACTTTCTTTGGGTTTCTTAAGGAGGCCAGGGTCCGATTGTTGAAGCACACCAAGCTTTTCCAGGGAACCTCAAAAGCAGTGGACATGAATCCCCACCACAATGTCCACCCTTTAGCAGTTTTTGCATTTTGAGTTGATCCTGTTTGTGGTGAGCGGGAACATAGGAGCCAACCTACATATTCTTTTTTTGGGGGGGGCATCTGCAAAGAGTTCGAGGGGCGGAGACCTGGTAGGCCCTGGCGAAACATCAGCAGCAGCGGCCCTGCAGCTTTCTGCTGGATTCCGGCGCGCGCCTGAGTGACGGCATTGGCTGTGTGGGAGCCGATTCCGAAAAGGCCTTTTTAGTAGGTTCGGCTCCTACCTGGTTTAGCGACAGTATTCCCGCAATCCCTGGAAACCGACAAAGCCATGCCCCCATTTTCAGTCCGTGGTTCAGTACCTGGAAAATCGCAAGGATGACGGTGAGGCACGACTAAAAGTGAGAAACTCCGCCGGTTTTTGCTCGTTGCGCGCATCCGTTTTCGATTGGCAGGTGAGGGCCGGCTGTGTCCCTTCTTCCTCTTCGACGCAGTCAGTCAAGACAGCGGCCTGGCAGGAGTGCGCCCAACTCCGGGAACTGGGGTACTCACGTTAGGGTCTTGGATTTGTTTAGCTTTTAGGGATCCCAAAGGGAAGCATGGGGTTTCCGGGCTTCCCTCGGATTTGTTGAGCTTTCAGGGATTTCTTTTCCTGTTCTTGGCCATACAGTCCAACGTATTGTTTGGAGGTGTACAAAAGCCGCTTCAACGGGCCGATTGGGTTTTCAGTCCGCGTGTTTGCTGCAAGATACCCCCAGCAGGAAGTTGTTTGTTGGTCTCCTTTTGGGCGGTGTCAAACAATAACACCTACCCATTCCTTGCTGGCCAACTGTTCAGGAGCCTTTGCCAAAATTACCATGCTCAGTGGAGACAGCGGTTTGAGTGCTTGCCATCAACAGAACATGGTCAATCTTGCCGACAGGATCTAGTTGGGAAGCGTATGGAAGTGGCAACGGCTTCCTGGCTGGTGCTCAGCAGGGAATGAGGGAATGACCCTTATAAACCATCCTTTATGGTTTCCTCTAAGGGAATCCCCAGGTTGCTTCCCTCATTCCCTGCTGAGCACAGGCAAGCTTCCTGCTAGATTCCCTACAAGCCAAAAGGGGTCCACAATGTTGAGAAGCCCCCATATTTCCCGACAATTGTGTGTTCACACGAGGGTGTCCCAAGCACAACCCGGAGATGTCCAAGCCTACCAACGCGAAGTTCGAAGCTGGCCGCCTCAAGTCACCGAATTTTGGACGTTGCGTTTTTTTTTTGGGGGGGTCAAACCTTCCCTAAATGTACTTACAGTCATAAGCAAGTCCCTTGAAAGCGGGGAAAGAAAAAAAAATCAACACGGCCCGAAGGCGAATAGAGTATGGAATGGGAGATACTCCACACGGACCCCTGTGCAAACAAGCCTGATATGTTGTTGGTGTTCAAACTAACTCGCAGCGCTGTATTTCCCAAATTAATCCAGGCTACATCAGGCTACCATGATTTTGAAAAGCCCCTTGTCTCCGTTCACATGTTTTCTTGCAAATCAACAACACATAGAACTTTGAGCATGGGCAGTAGAAACTAAGTAGCTTCAGTGGTTTGTCCCATCGTGTCCATAGGTGTTCCTTACCAATAAAGCTATGGCAGTACCAAATATTTGGGTTTTACATTGATTTCTCCAATATTGCACCTGTTGGCTCCCAGCCATCCCCCTAGCCTTTTAGCTTCTTAGTGTTTAGTGGAAGTTGCCATTTCAGCCACGGACAGTCAAACTTTTAGCGGGGGCAGTGCAGTTTACATCGGTTTTCTTCTATCTTTGGTTTCCATCGGGTTTTTCACTAGTACCACTGAGCGAGGCCTGAGCACCTGGCAGGGCGCCCTCAGCACCTGCGCCCGAGAGCTGCGCAGGAGGCGCGGGGGGTTGCATGGGCATGGTTTTGGAGTTCACCCCTTTTAAGGTTGGCGTAAAGGGAACCGAAGGAAGCAATTACATGGATGATGATGAGCTCAGGCGGAGCTGGATCCTGCAGGGCTCACTAAAATGGACTCGGAGTACCTAAAAATCTACGGGACACTTCCAACTCCATTCTTTCCAGGGATCCCTCTTTTCAGAAAAACCATCAAAATTTCAAGGGAAACAGCGGTCGGTTTTGAAAAGAAGGATGGTTGAAAGAATGGGAAGGGAATCACCCCCTAGAAGCAAAGGAACACCAGTTTGGTAGCGGCTCCCCGAGTTTGACACAGGTCGGAGTTGGTTCCACGGGCTCGTTGCCTTGGGAACAAATCGAAAAGGGACCCGAGTGGGTCAGGATTAGCTTTGACCCGATTTGTCGGGGTGTCATCATGAGATCTCAAGGGGGACGGTGATGGTCCTTTCTGGTGAGCAGACTAATTCTCTCCGAGCTCGTGTTCAAAAGTGACTTGCGAAGGGCTGAACTGCAGCTTGACCACTAGATGTTTGCCAACAAAGACCGTTTTGGTTAAAGCTGCAGCTGAAGCCAATGGGCATTTGTTCTGTTGCTCCATGACTGGGGGCGTGAACACATGCACAGTCTCGCCAAGGCTGCAGACTGAGGAGGAGCATCTCTTCCGAAGCGCGAAAGCCGGGCATTCTGTGTAGTTCAAAGCAAGTAATCGACAGGGGCGCTGATTTGATCGTTGTTTTTTGGAGCGCACCCTTGTGCTGCTTTAACAGGAAAAATAAATGAAAGCCACCGTACACGTTCGTTGGTGAAGCATCACCTAACCCTTACGCTTGCACTCAGACCAAGGTACATTCGAAAGGCAGTTGTTCCACAAGGTTCTTGCTTCTTGTTTGTGTTTGGTTGATGGGTATTAGTTAGCACTGCGCAAACCCAGACAATTTTGCATTCAATGCACACGAATGTCGTCAACTGGACTGTTGCAAATTCGGTGCCCAATTGAGGCGGGGTCCCTTCTGCTTGCCAAGCACGGGAGAGCTGTCGTCACGGGATTACCTGCTGTGCTCCAGATATTGGAGCAAGAGAAAACCAAGAGGGCGCCCCGTTCTCCCCCAATGGCCACTGCAGAGTAACAAAACCGAAGTTGTGAGCCAACATCAATCCGCATGACTCGTTTCAGACAAGCAAGGACTGGGGAAGACGGCTGCGATGGGAGAATTTGGGCATTGAATATAGGACGACTAGGCAACTAAGGAGATTCTTTCTTCGTAGCCCTTCTGCTCCAGGTGCTGCTTGCTGTTTTAAAGTGAAGTGAACGCTTTTTTTGCTCTCACACCCTGATTGCCGACTGTTTTGTTTGAGGGCCCGGGATCCTGTTTTGGTTCGTGTTGCTTGAATGACCGTGGGCAAATAGCTGTTGCAATGGGAAAATGAGCAGGTCAGCAAGCTTTTGAAGTTTTATTTGTTGTCTTTGTTTGGCGGTGGCTGGAACCCAACACACGTTTACACATTTAAAGCTTGAACCAGTGGGGGAGTTTCACTCATTTGAATTATCTTTCTTCAAGCAAGGAAAAACCGCACAGAGCTCATTGCGGCCATCTTCTCTGCGTTGGACCAAGAGGGACAAGGTCGGGGGTTGGGCAGAGGGCCAAGCCTTTTTCAGACACGAGTTTATTATTGGGTATTACAAATTCTTACACAGGCGTATAGTTCTATATATTGAGGCTTTATATGTATGGGTAGGTGTGCAAACATAGTGGACACGAATGTTTGGGTGGCTTCCATTTTTTGCCAATACACATCCCGAATACACCTTCTACAAGTGGTATACGTTCTCGGTACCTCCAAAGCCTGGAACTGTTGCTCCCGGGAAAACAACCTGGCAGTGCGTTCTGGTAAGTTTGGGCATTTGGATGTGAAGCCCCACGGACCAGAACTGGTGCCAACATGATAAACATTCCCTTGGTAAAGCGGGTAGCCTGCAACTTTTGATTACTTCAAGTATGCATGTGGATTTGTCAATGTTATTATAGCTTCTGCACACCTGCATCAATGTTCTTTGATTGTTTTCTCCGCTTGTTCTGGTGGCTTTTTGCTGGCTAGCTACACAGCACAGGCCATGCTGACGAGTGGTCCGTTTTAGTGCCTGGCCTGGCTGCAGGGCAACAACCTCAAATAGAGAAGTCACACCCTGAAATGAACCAATCTCTGTACAGGAAATTCAAGGCTGACACCCTAGCTTAAGTGAAGCGGACATGTATTGACATCGAATACTACTTTTCGTAATATGCCAGGCACCTTCCCCGTTCTTTTCGGGGATACCTTGTTCCAGAAGGTCACAAAACAGTGCAAAACTGTCTGGGATTTGAAAAGAGCAATGGCGGCACAAACAAGTGAGGAATTTGCCTCTGGTCATACGGGGACGCCCAACCGTCGCCTATTTTTCCTTGGTTTTTCCCGACAGCAAGCACACACTTTGGCACAAACTCTACGGGGCACTTCCTGGCCATCTTTGCGGAGGCAAGCTCTGGTCCGTGGAGTTTCGGCGCTATGCGGAATCGCCCCTCGGCTGGAGAGGGGTGCGACCGACGTGCCCAAAACGAAGACCGCCAGTCGTCGGGCTTGGATCTAGACTTCCTATTTTGTGCATGTTTGTTTTCTTCGACTTTTGTGTTTTCGGAAAGTGATGGTTTTACGCGCGCCGCACCCGCGTCCTGAGCTGTACCCTCGTACCGTACCCCCATACCCCCAGACGCAATCCGTGAAGTGATATTTTTACTCATGGTGCCTGAACGCGGCCTGCGAGGTGAGTTCCCTCTGGTAGGGGTGATGTTTTAAGGGCAAGCACAGAGAACCCTAAAACCGGCGCGTTTCAAGAACCCTGTTTTAAGGGCTCTCTCGGCTTCTGCCTACGGCGCGTTAGGCTGGGCTTTGCCGGCTCGGACGCGGAGTGGAATGGGGAGTTCAACGAGATCTGTGAAGATCGCGGCTGGAAGGCCGGGCAGAGTGGGGTCTCCTCCACAAACATCTGATATTTTAAGGTGCACGAAATACGAAAGAGAATCTGAAAACAGCTGTTTCTAGGCAAAAGGGCCAATTTGTTTGCCTGCTCGCTAGTTCCGAGCCCCCTCAAGCTGGTTTCCTTTTGGATTCCGTAAGCCGTCCACCGAAGCTTCCTTTCTTGGTCCCTCATTCCACGTTGGTGAATGATCCTAGTTTACCAAGATCTTGTCTGAGGCACGGGTTTTGCTGATGTCTCTGGCTTCTTTGGGTGCATTTCCTGCAGAGAATCACCATACACAATCATCAAGTCAGCAGCTGAAGTTAACCTTTCCTTCAGGAGAACGCCGTAGGCCCCCGCCCGCTGAATCAACAGGGAATTACCAAAGATCCTTTTGCCCGCCCGGTGGATTCCTGGCACATTCCTTCTATGTTCCCTGGCTTGGCCGTTCCCATGGGAAATCCCCAGGTATGATGTCAATCCATATTTGCTTTCTGCTCAAGACTCTCAGGTCCATCGTTTTTAGACGTTTTTTCACCAGCCACAAACTCCAAGCCGCCACCAGGAGAAGGGGCATGCAAGTACCAACCACTGCTGTCAGGTGACTCAAAGGTACACATCCGATTTGTTGATTCTGGTGGTGGCTTGGGGATAGTGGGAACCTATGAGATTGACATTTCCCTTTAGAAACCTTCAAGCCTGTTCGGTCGCTTGAAAGCTTGATTCCGTGGCGCCGGCCAACATGTGAGTTGCAAGTTGGAGGTTTCCAGAACAAGCGGTGCCTTTTTGTTTCAATCATCAAACCAACAAGGAGACACAAAACGCAACAACAGGTAGGCGAATTTGTTGATATTCTTGTCCAGGTTTAAATCTTCTCGACAGAGCGGGGGAGAGGGGGTCAGAGTTTGTTGAACAGCATGTATTTAAAGTGCAAAGCCCCCGTTGGCCAATTGGGGGATGAGGTTTCACTTCTGCACCCTGGCTCACTATACGTACGGAGCTCCCCATACCAAGCCTCAGAACAATCTGGATGGGACCAAATGTTCCATGAGCGTTGAGAGCTGCTGATTTTTACTGGTTCTAGAAGAAATCAGGCTGAGGAGTGCACAGAGGTTGCTTCAGATGGTGGACCCGCTTTTGGTATTTACAGGGAAGCCAAAAGCAAACCCAACATTTTAGGGGGACCGCCTTTCAGAAACACCTTCGTGGGGTCAAGGGTGAGGGGTTGGTTCCTAAGACATGGACCCCCAAAGCATGGGCGATTTCGTTTTGGATCGCTGGTGTTCAGAGCACCTGACCAAGTTGCTACAAGAAGATGGCGTCAGAGCCCTAGCCACATCGTCAGAAGTCAGAGGTATTCTGAGGATCAGGGTCTTCCATCCAAAGAGTTTGGCCAGCTCCCCGTTTTAGGTTTCAAGGTTGTTCCGAAAGGTTTATTGGGTATGATTGTTGCTTGGGGACCCTTTGGTGGACATCAACAAATAGATGATTTGTGTCCACCAACCACTACTCACAGTGCTTCAACAATGGAAATTCATGGCCTCTCCAGGCCCTTGCGGGGCGTTGGAGTGTTTGGATGCCACTTCCCAGGAGGATAGCAGCATCACCTTGAAGCACTTCACAAAGCCTCCTGACTGAATGGGAGCCTAAGGCCCGCGATTTCACAGCGTTACCTTTACCTCAAACAAACCAACAGAGGTCCCTGCTTTGAGACATGTCACGTGAAGCTCACTTCAACCTTTGAGTGGGGCAAGGAACACTGCTTTAACACTGGGCTCAACTTTCCGATTTAGCTTGCACTGCATATTTACACGCATGTAGAGCGTGTCTGTGTTTTCCTTTGGGTTAATCAGGCTCTAATGAAGTCAGGTCTTTTGCGCCCGGGTGCTTGTTTTGAGCCGAGTTCTCAGCTGATGAAGCTACAGTGGTACAACTTTTGCCAAAGTGCCACCAGGCCCTGTGGCTGTCAAGGAGCATTCCCCACATACGCTAATGTCAAAACTGGGGGCAGAGAGTCTGCGACCGGGTTCAGAAATCAGATTCCGCCTCTAGATGGGTTTACTTATGCCGACCTCCCTTGCTGAAGAGCTGGTTGGAAAATTCTCGCAAACCCCATTCTAAGTATTTGGGCGTGTACATGAATTCGCCTTTGGGGGGAAATCGGCAAACCCGATACTAGCATATGTGTTTGTAACCTTTTGCAGAGACGATGTAGTTAATGGGTGTAGGGTCGCCTTAGCCTTCTCGCAATGGTATGTTATTGGGGCGCTGTTGGTCAGGTAGACACAAAGTCGCTTCTTTGACCTTCCTATCTGGAGAAATGGATGTTGGTGTGACAGTTCTGCTTTGTTTCTACCAATGTTTGTGTCGGCTCCACAATTGCTGTTCGAGTCAAGCCTATAGCAACAGCCCAGCAGCGCTCTAGCTATGTCATTGAGCTGGTAAGTCGCCATGCTGCGCAAAAGCAAATACTGTATGGTGGAGTTGAACATTGTTGCAGACCGGGAGGGACCATCAGAAGTTGCGTTGGCTAGTATCCTTGCTCTCCAAGAACCGCCTGGATAGCCACTATTCCGCAATGATTTCATACTTACTGGCCTCTTTATGGAACTTGTTGTTGGCTCGCATTTGGGGTGCTCCAAAAGTATGGTTTTCAGATTATGAGTGTTTTGGATTTCTGTTAGGCAGAGATTGGACAAATCAGTACGCAACGGCCGGGGTCGGGGGGTGGGGATGTGTCCTTAGGTTTGTCAGCAAGGACGAGAAGATGGAGAAGGCGTGATTGTCCTGGGGCCCGATCTTTCGAATTGGAATTCTTAAGGATCGCCAAATATGAGCACAAATGTCAATCGGGGATCCTTTGGTGGACATCATGGGCGAGGATCATGTCCACCAGCCACTTTTGAGGTGTGGTTCTTAATGAATTAAACGTCATAGCGTGGCCCTGTGGCGCAGAATCGGTGATCCTTTGTTACGTCGGCCAGCGCTGAGGTCGTATTGTATATGTGCAAGTGCGGACTTTGGGTCACGATGGATGCATTTCTTGGCATGGACTTGAGCCTTTGAATTGAATCGGACGTGTTGCAGATTTCATGCCCTGTCCTGTCTGGTACCCTGGTAGTTGCCTCAAATGGGTGGCTTATCCGCGGCCATGTTGGTTTAGTCTTTGAGATGTGGGTTTGCGCAATGCGGCAGCTGATGAAGGATTTGAGCAATCATTGATCAGCGGCCACATTGCACAAGTTGCAAGTTCTCGTCTCAGGGTCCCAACAAGAGCTAAGGGCAATGGGTCAATTGCCCAGTGCACCAAAACATGGCGGGAGGGGGCCATGGATTCAACTCCAAGGGTTGCCCTCAGGCTTTGACACGCTTGAGCCAGGGTTTCCTCGGGGACGGCCTACAAACCTCCTTCCGTCAACCTGCTGCAACTTGCTGGTTCTCAGTACGGAATGAGAGAGTGACATGCTACTGTGGAGGGACGAAATCCTGCAGAATGATGATTCCCCTGTAAATACAAACTAAAAATGGCTTTCCTTGGTTTCAAAGTGGTGCAGGATTTCGCCAATCCACAGTATGAATCGTATCCGTCGCCGAAGAGTTCCTTCCCTCCGAGAACCGGCAAGTCCCCAAAACGCCCAGCCGGGAGGAGCACCTCCAGGAGGTCTTGGAAGGTCTCAAGGGCGAGCGCGAGCTGCCCGTCTCCGCGCCTCGTGCCTCTTGTCCTTTTCCTTTTCCTTTTTTTGGTTTTTTGGGCGAGTCAACAGGGTGAGCTGTTCCCCAAAGTGGTGAAGGACCTGGAATTGCCCCCCAAGGCTGATCCAGTTGAATTCAGGAGGAAAATCAGGCTCTATCGAAGACCAAGGTTCCTGCTAATTCCCTTTCAAACTATCCCAAGAAGGGTTCCATTAAAGAGAAGCCTTGATGGCAAGCATGGGGCCGAACACCAAACACCCTTTGCGGGACATACAGAGACAGGGATAGGCACAGACAGACAGAGACCGACATCAACCAAGCAACTGACCGACCGCCACGCGGAAAGTCGCCTTTTGGTATGTGAGCTGAGGACGCATGGGCCAGGCAGAGCGTGGCCTCAAACTTGGTGAAGCTCAAGAGCAGGCACCGATGTCGTTTTTGTGGGTATCTTTTCAAGAACAGCTTGGTCTTCTTCTAAAACCGCCCCAAAAAATGGAGTCCTCTAAACACTTCTAAGACGACATGGGATGGCATCCATGGTAATTTCGCGGAATGGGATTTGTGCCTTCAATCATTGTCCTTCAAAACGACCCAAAGAAGACTTTCGTGGTGTGGTCATAATGCAAGCGAACAGCGTATGATGAAGCTGGCTACTGACTAAATTTGGCACACCGGCACCTCCTGGCGCAACCTGGGTGTGTCTGGACAGGGAACCCTCTAAACCACCATATGGGTGAGGCTTGTTTTAGGGGGACTGCCAAAATGGCGGCTTGCCCTTTGGTTGCCTCTAAACAGGTCTCCGAGAGGGACTAGCAGGTTTAGGGGAACACTCTGGTACCCTCTTTCTGTGGGTGTCCTTGCGGTTTCTCTTCAAAACCACAGCAAGGGGTGCCAACTCCAAAAACAAACACACCCTGCCGAGTCGGAAGGCCAGGAAGTCGGCGGTTGACATGTGGAGTGGTTGTTTGCAACCTGTTGTCTGGAGTGGTTTTGCATTTTAAGAGCTTTTTGATTGGGTGTTGGGATTTTTGGGATGAGTCTGCACAATAGCCGTGTCCGTGGCAGAGGAGGAGCCAAATGCGGGGGGAGCCGCCCAAATACACCCTTTTTGAGGCTGTGCGTGATGGTCAAACTCCCTTTTTACTCGGGGTAGGTAGCGATGGTTATCGAACACCATAGAGTTTGACACAACGTTAAATTATGGAGCGCCCTTACCAAGGAAGCTTCCGTAGGTTTGCCAGTGTCCAATATACTGTGAGCCATCAGCACAACCCATGGCCGTGAACTGTTCTTAATGCAGACATCCAGCATCACTAGCAAGGCGTTGGGCATATTTGTTTTCTTGTATTTAGTTGTATTTCACCATACTCAGTGAACAAACACAACCATAACCAACCATTAGTTTCCTCTCTGGTTGAAATAACCATGGGTCCCACTGGCGTTAGTTTGGTTTAATTATCAGTTGAATAATTTATCATTTGCCAGTGAAATTACCACATTTTCTAAAGGCATACCTAGTCGGTTGGTCGGTCAGTCAGAAAGTGTTAGCACTGTTGAATTGGTTCAAGGTTGTGTCCTTTCATGATTGCTGTGAGGTGCTCTAAATCTCAGCACTAGGAGGCACCAGTTGTTCAGTTGATTGCTATTATTGTTTGTTGCGTTGGTTTGACTGTAGCGTTAACAGTGCTTCTGATTCACTCCTGCGCAGGTCCGACATCATCACTGCCATGTTCAACTGCCTTCAGAACGTTGACACAGGCCGGGAACGAGGGCGAGTGGGGTTGGGATCGGACTTTCAGTTCTTTTCAGGAGGCAGGCGTGCGCACTTCCTTTTTGCTTCGCCATGGGGGGGAGTTACTGTACCCAAAGAGTTCCACGCTTGCTTTCTGGTGTGTGTGTGTGTCCCGGTTTTGCGTTGCGCCAGCAATGGGCAAGTGAGAGGGGTGTTCTTCAGATGTTTATACTTTTGGCCATATTATCACACATATCAGTTTTTGGTTGTTAAAGCTTTGCTGGGTGAACCGATTGCATCTTTTACATGACTCCTGACACTTGTGGTTGTTCATGGCGTCCACAGAGAGGGTGGTCATCAAGCTCGAATTAGATGCTGCTTGCCTGGTCACGTTGGCATTTGTCGCATGTGTTGCCACGTCCATAGGTGTGACGTGGCCTCGTAGATAGTGAGCCTCCTTGGTTGCATTTGTCCCACCAGGCCTTGTCCCTTTTTCATGTTCACGTTTATGTGGGTAAGGGCAAATCGTTATTCAAGGCCTGTTTAACGACAATCACTTGGTTTGACATGTCTGCAAAACATTGATTGAAACACCACGGATTTGCGTTGTCATTGCATGACGAGTATGTTCTCCCCCAATATGCAATGATTACAATATGTACAATTGTTCTTTGGGTGGCTAGGGGGTTGTGTGTTTTGTTGGTTCTCTCGTTGAAAAAAAAGAAGCGACATCCCCCACCGTCAGATGGGGTTGCCAGATTTGTTCAACATCCACCTGAAAGCCATGTGCGGGTCCGAGTCGGAGTGTCTGTGTGGGGACACGCCAGATCCGGCCGGGGTCAAAGCGTCTGGTCAGATACGCGCAGTCTTGGGTATGAGTGACTGGAAACACAGGCGGCGCGAATCTGGATGGAATGGTTTGAAGCCTTAACTTATCGCTTCCTCCTCCCCAATTTTGGGGCCATTGTCAACACTCCCTTGCTCCAAGCCGACCTTTCGACTTTTCTTTTTGCGTTGAGTCTGCGTTTGCATCAAGGCTTGAAAAAGGTGAGCAAGCACTTTTGAATTTTAATCACTTTGGACAAGCAAGGAACCCCTGAAAAAGCTTGGGTGGCGTGAGCGTCTCACCAGTGAGGGCTACGTGATTGGAAAGTCAATGTTCCTATGATCGTGACCTGGATTGACCTGCCAGTAGCCCACAACCCCCATGTTAAATTAGCTTTTGGGAGTCACTTTGAAACCCATTGGTTGTTCCAGCATTCTGTTGCTTTTGGCCCTTACCCAGATCTTCCTCACACACAACTTTCATATTTCGAGGTTGAGTAAGCGAGAGCCAGAATCTGACAAGTATAATCCTTCCTGTGGGGTTGGGCCCAAGTATTTACCTAGGATCAGGTCACCTGTTTGGTTTAAGGTAAATCTTGGTGGGGGGGGTTGGAAGAGGAAGTCTTTAGGATCGCAGGCTCCTTTTGGGCAAGGGACTTCCACGCAGGCCGGATTGGCTGCTCGGAGCTGCGCCGACGCTTGGCACGGCCCAGCAACAGGGATCCGGGAGTTGATGGGGGGCGGTATATTACTTCAGGTGCGCCTCTGTTTTTTGGAGGGTACCGTCCCTCCCACTTGCAGGTGGTGCCTTGAAGAGAACTTTGATCTTCCAGGTAGCCTCCCACAGGTGCTATGTTAACGGAAGGGAGGTACTTTTGTGATTGTTCATGGACACATTGTGTTGGAGGGTAATTACCCCTTTTTTGGAGCCTTCTTTTGGAGGTTTCCCTGTTTTTCCATGTTATATAATCCTTCACGGCTTTTGTTGAACTCCCCCACTAAGAGCCTCCCAACTCTTATTGCCTCCTTGGGCCTTGCTTGCGGGCCCCAGTAAACCCCCAAGCAGCGGGGGACAGGGGCGGTCTTTGAGTGGTTTGTTCAAAGGTATAGCCCAAAAAGGCAAGAAACAAATCAATGAAATGAACAACAAACAAATTTGAAGGGCCAAACTTGAGGGAACGAGCAATTTTGCCCGCGCGGCTCAGGGTACGCGGTGCTGTCTGGCTTTGAGGGTGATGCCGACGAGTGGGCCGAGGAGTATGAAGACCTCTGTGCGGACCAGGGCTGGAGCAAGGACCCCGAAAGAGAGATGACTGTGGTTGTCAAAATTAAGCCACCAGGGGACCGCAGGTTTTAGTCCATGTTTCCATTACCAGGGTTCCATTTTGGGGTAGGTGCACCACCCATTTTAGGCTTAATTTTAGTGGGGATTGGGATGTGGATGTTCACGCGGGGTACGATTTGGATTTTGCCCCATGGCCAGATGGCTCTGGGCGTGGTCTTGCTGCGTGCTTGCTTGCTGGCTGGCTGGCTGTGGGGCCGTCTGGCTGTTTGGCTGCTTGCTTGTTTTCTTGCGTGCCTGCCTGCCTGCCGGCCTGCTTGCTTGCTTGCTGGCTCGATCGTTTGTTCGCGTGTTTGTTTCCTGTTGTTTGTTTGGCTATGTGTTTGTTTGCTTGCTTGCTTGCCTGCTTGCCTGCTTGCTTGCTTGCTTGCTTGCTTGCTTGTTTGTTTGTTTGTTTTTTACTTTTGTGATTGTGTGTGTGCGTGCTTGCTTGTTCTTTGTTTGCATATTGTTTGTTTGGTTGGTTGGTTGTTTCTGCCGCGCGTCACACCCACAGAGTCCAAGGCCAATCAGTGGGGGTACGCATGAGCCAAAGAACAGCCAAAGGGGGGACAGTACAGTATGCACCCTTCCAATTCGAGTTTTTAACGGGTGGTTCTGTTGCCTACATATACAGCCAAATGCAATCACTGGGGTATACTTAGTACTTATACATATATATATATATATACATAGACTTGCATGAGCCAAGGATGACTGAGCTTTTTGATGCAGGATACCGGCATCAGTCGACTGGAATTCGCCGGGCTCATGAAAGATGCCGCTGAGCTGCAAACGCCGTGGTCATGTCCAACCTATGGTCGATTTGTTTGCCGTGGAAGAAGCCGTCATTTACAAAAGGGTCTTTGATTTTGACAACCACCCGCCCCAGGTATCTTAAAGGAATGGGCGCTCTTTAAAATACAACTTAAACAGGGTATAAACTGCCTAGCAGGCTCTCCGTTGTTCAGTGGACCTCCTCGCTTGCCGGCTTCCCCATGGTTCCCCACTGAAGATGGGCTCCGTTTCAACCTGGAGCTATTGGTGGTAAGCCATGGTGTTTGTTTAAGTGAGCCAGCCAACACCGACATGCGGGAGGTACATGAGTGGTATTCCTGTACCTATACTATGTGCTGCCTTCCAGCGCGAAAGCCCTCCATTTGCCCATCTGGGTTGGGTGGCCTTGGGGCTGGCAGCTTCGGGAGCTGGCGGTTTGGTTGGTCTTGACGCGCAACTTGTTTGACACCTAGTATTTTTGTTTTTGTTTCAAGCCCCGTGAGTACAGCAAAGTCACCCCTGGAAGGTCCTTTACTGGTGGATTCCCTGAATTTGCATATATTTGCCCAGATGACTGGGTGACAACTGTCGGTTTCCTCAGGACCGGCACTAAGAATTCCTGTCACAAAACGGCACCCTCCTGGATCCGGCACGGGCAGGCGCGCCATGCTCAGAAGCCGGATTTATAGCCCCGGGCCTTGGGTTCTCTTTTTAGAGATGAAATCACTGAAGTTGCCCCACAGCTCCTTTTTATCCATGCCTCAAACGGGTTGCACCTGGGTGCCAATGTTAATGCTGATTGAGATTGTCTCGGTAGGGTGACGTCTTTAGGTTGGGCAAGGAGTCCTGTTCCCACCACAGGATCAAAAGGCGCTGGCTGCTTGTCAGAAGCTGAACGCGAAATACAGTAACTCAAAGGTGATGTTTAAACCATTCAAGCGAAACACAAGAACCTTCTTCCCTCGTATCAACCCCTCAGTAGATCTCAGAATGTGGCAAGTCATATCCAAACACATCCAACCACACAAAGCTGAAAATTGTGGGTGAATAATTTCAGGGTCTCTACTTTCCAAATTCAGGGCATCCTCCGCATAATTTCTTGAGCAGCCAAGGGATGCAGTAAATCCTTTCTATTCTAGACCAATTTGAGCCCTTGCTCATTTCAATTCTCAAGGGTGTAAAGCACGAGAAAGCTCATAGCCCCCAAACATCCCTTTAGGCACAATTTATACTCCATTTGAGGCATATTGCTCCTTTGTGAAACCCGCAACACTTTTAGTCCAAAAGCAACCTAGAGGGGTCTTTCTGAGGAGCAGATGGGTTCCGACGAGGAGCTGAAAGCCATTTTGATGGAGCTTCGCATGTCCCCGAAGAAGAGGACTGGTCGGTTCCAGATTGGGGTTTCTCCAAATGTGTGTGTGTGTGTGTGTCTTAGGGTACCCTTCTCAGGTTGGACGAGGACAAACAGTACAATGTTGGGGCCCCCCTGCTTGGCACATTTCCCAAATGGTGGGCTCCCGGCCCCCCGTTGGGTTGGTATTTAAAAGGCACCCAGAACAACAAAGAAGGCCAACAAGTTTTTTGGGGGCCCACGATTTGAGAAATCCCCAGATGAGCTCAGATGGGTGTGTGTGCGTGTGTCGGTCTGTGGGTCTGTGTGTCTGTGGGTCTGTGTGGTTGTGCGTCTGTGATATTGACTCATATTGACTCCACCTAAACTCTCCCCAGGCCCTGGCGGAGGGGGCATCCTGCCAGGCATGTTCCAGTGAATACGCCAACTGGTGGCGGATGTGAGTCAAGGGATCCAAGACCGCTGGCGCCACCCGAGCAAACGGGGTTTGCCGATCTTGGCCAGGTTGGGCCTTTGCGCACATTGATTTTCAGACCTCCCATGCACCCATCCCTCTCTACGAAGGGCGGCTCCAAAATGACCCAGACACCTGAGTTGAACGTTGCAGGATTGAATGTCTTCGCTTGTGCCGGCTCTTTGGGGGCCCCTGACAGCACAAGGCTGTGGCTGAGTTGCTTGCTGACAGGCGAACTTTCGACCAAATGTCCCAACTCGCTGGCAAGACTGCCTCCCGCAACCGCGTGGATGTTACGGAGCTGGACAGACTCTCGTGCCGCAACCGGGGTACGTTTGCCCTTTGAGCTTAATGAAAAGGACAGCAACCATGTTTGCGATCTAATCATTTTAATACATAGGAGTACAAGATCTTTGAAAGTACACCAGCCAAGAACACCCCCCCCCCCGTGTGCTCAGGTTTTCTGTTCCGGGGGCAAACAGGGTGCCACGGGCCAGTTCAAAAGTCCGCTGGTGTAGAGGATCCAACTTCTTGATTTCACCAGATGGTGTTTGGATGTACCCTTCTCACCGACACCCCCAAACCCTGGTAAACTGTGGGGAGTGTTCTCAAAATTGGGGGCAGCGGCAGACATTGGAGGTGGCAAACTAGAAAACATGAGCCCGCCATATTTTGACCCCGATATTTGTCACGTACTCTATGGGTATGTGGTTTCCTTTTGGCTTGGATTGAAGGCCACCTCACAGGGTAGTCTCCAAAACCACGGACCCATTGGAGGGCAAGCCAAGGCTCTAGTTTCTGCTCGTTTCGGTCCTGGTTCTTCGGTTGGTTTACGCCGGTCCCGGAAACATATTTGATTGGTTTGATTGCTCTGATTTGGGGTTGCCTGGCTGGAAACAAAGTGCTTTGGCCAGTTTTGTTTTTCTAGCTACGACCAGAATGAACATGATTCGGAAGCCACGACCAAGATGAGCGGCGGCTGCAAACGCCCAAAACGGCCCAAAAGCTAACTAGGACCAAAATGAGCAAACAACCTTGACTGCTATTGGGTTTTATCTTTAAACTTTAACTTTCTGGGAACTCAAGTGTTTTCCGCTAACCCCCAAAAAGTTAAGCTTTTTGCAGGGGGGCCAACAGCAACCAAGGAACTAGGACCCAAAATGAGCGGGTTGCCACATGGACCTGTGCCGGCCTCGCCCAGGATCGGCTCTAGTTGCAGAGGCCTTCCGATGTTTGGACGTGCGGCGCAAGGAGTTGCTCACCTCCCGGGAGTTTAGGCTGGGACAGCTTGGCTTCACTTGTGCTTAATTTTCTGCAAATGCGGGAGCCCCAAAATGGGTCACTTGTGGAATTTTCTTTCAAAATGCGGGAGCCCCAAAATGGGTTGGGGTCTGTTGTAAGGTTGTTTTCTTTAAAACCACCCAAGCAGGGGTCCACACATTTTTGGTTTGGCGAAAAACCACGCATGTCAGCTGAGCGGCGCCCGAGCCCCCCTGGCACCATGTTAAACGGATTCTGCTACCCATGAGGTTTAGAGCAAGGATTCGATTCAAACCTACTTGGAGCCAAAACTCCCGGAGTTTTGGGTGGGGCACAATTCTCATATTGACCATTCCCCTCCATCCCTAGGCGCTATGCGGAGCTCACCGGCTACGACGAAGGCGACCGGCTGGGAGAGAGGGGTAAGTCAGTGGCGGGTCTGGTCCTTTGATGTGCTGTGAGGTGAGGAGTTCTGGGAAGAGCAGTACGAAGAGCTGTGCCAAGAATACGGATGGACGCCAGAGGTAGGAGTGGGACTTCGGGAGTTTGAGGAGCCTTGGCGAGGCAAGGGAGCCCAAGATGGTGTCCAGTTTTGGGTTAAGGCCCTATGGGAACCCAACACCCCCGGTCTGGAGGTTCCATGTTGTTATGCCCCTCTGGGGAAAGCATGGTTTTCGGACAAAACAAAGCACACACTTGTTTTCTGGGAGAACCTGTCAAATCAAGGGTTTCTTGCTTTCCTTGACTGGCGTCAGCCCCAAACATTCTTTTTTGGAGAACAGGCACCAACTCAGAAGCTCCCAGACCAGCCCAAGAATAGCGGCTTCATGCTGGCTAGGGCCTGGCACTGTTGAAAGGATACAATTCGCAGACCCTTGGAATGTGTGGGTTTGATGAATGTATTTTCGGTGAGTCCCAATTGAATTGTATGTTGCCAGATATTTTGGGAATTGCCTGCTTGCCTGCGTCATGGTCAAAAGATCCCTCTTGCCTGGGGTTGGTAGGGATGGTCATCAACCCTTCAACAGGGGTTTTAGACTTATGAGAAGTTCAGGGCCACAGCCTTTGGGTGAAGCAACACTTATGTTTACATTGTTGTTGCGTCCTTCGTTTCAATCCTTTTGTTGGCTCGGCCACTCATAATTTTAGACAACCAATTTTGACTTGTAAAGGTTATTCAGGCAACCATGACCATGGCCATCAGAAGCAGTTTTGACAATGGCTCATTGAATTGCCTGATAGTCTTACTTGACATGCACTCAGGGGCCGATTTGTTTGTGTCCTTCTGATGTTTGGTGATTTGTTGCTTGTTGGAACCAGGATCCGTCAATAGGGCCATGTGTCGGGGAGGTGCTAGATTTAGGGACTTGACGCTTGAGAGGCATGTTGTGCCTCCTTGACAAGTCGAGAACCGGAGAACATCTAGCCCATCCATTTGGGTGTGGGTCAAAATTAAACCACCAGGGGACCATAGGTTTTAGTCCTTGGTTCCATTTCCCACAGCCATTTGACTTTGCATGCAATGCAAACAGGGAATACCCTCCCCAAGCCAAAGTGCCCGCACTTAAGTCAAGGATTGTTGCCCACCCTCCCTTTCCACTACTCCAAACCACCCCCAAGGCTTTGAGGGCACATGGGAGTGGCTCAAATTTAAAGAGCTAGGGTTACGCAGGTTTTAGTCCTTGTTTCCATTTGCCAAGCTGCCATTTTGGTACATGTTTTGAGCCACAGCCATATGAGAGTCGTCCGAAAGGTCGTTGTATTCAGTTGTGAAGGGGAAGACCTTTTGGTCTTAGCGTTGACCTTCGCGAAAGTTCCGCGAAGGGGGTCGCGGAAGTTATTTGTTTTTTTCCGCGAAAGTTTTGTGTGGCTCGCAAACAAGAAGCTGCAGTGATGAACCATGTGTATTTACCGGCAGTGCACGCAGAATGCCCGCAGACTAAAGTTGGTCGGAGAATGCGTAGGTCGCCGCAAGAATACGCCGCTGCAACAGCAACCCCCGGCCAGCAGAAACCAGCTTCTGGGAGGTTTCAAGCTGTCGGGGCAAGCTGAGCGCAACTTCCATCCGGATTTTCGCGAATGTTTGGCGTAAGATCCGCGAAAGTTTCGCGAAAGTCGGCGGACCTCCAACCGGTGATCATTGATTGTGGTAGTCTGGTTTTTGATTCCGGTAGTCTATTTTGGGGCATTAATATCATGTAAACCTCAGGAATGGGCTCTTCATATTTGGGGTCATGCAAGTTCATGTTAGACCTGTGTGAGGCTCTGTGAGAAGGTCCCTCGCATCATGTACTACTGTTTGTCAGAGCCTTGCAGCGTGTCTGGCATTGAAACTGCATGGCCCCTTTCAAGGAAGTACTGACCAAAATACTGGCAATAAAAGCCCACTCCCAGGTTTACGTGAGAAAACCCAGCAAATAATTGCTTCCTTGGGGGTTACTGGGGGTTACTGGGGGTTACTGGGGGTTTTAGAAAAGGTGTCGGTTTTGGATGCGCCATGCTGGGTCTAGCATAGTAGACAAAGTGAAAAACATGTTCTGTGCTTCCCAGTGTTTGTAAGAAGTTGTGATTTGCCACTTGTGCTAGGCCCAGACTGGCCCATCCAAAGCCGACACCTTTCTAAAACCCCTGTTTGAACACTGTAGTCAATGGAGGTAACGGGCGGCTAGCCTTTGGAATGGGAAGAAGCTGGTTTAAAACAAGCACGCGAATATAGCTGTTCAAGAATTGCCCTTCAAATTCTCAGTCCAAAGGCAGCAAGCCCGTCAGTAGGCTTTATGTTTGACAACGCCCCTGCTATCCCCTATTCTTAAGCTTGGGGCAGTTTACCTGGGCTGGGCGGGGGGGGGGGGGGCAGCGGCTGTCGCTGGCGGCTGCCGCCATAAGCAGCTTCGCCAAGCCAGGGCCTCGGCTCATTGGTTTTTCAAGTTTCCGTGGGCATGGCTGAACCATTCATTCTCTGACAGCCGAGACGCGGTTTTACCCAAGCCCCCAAGCGCCTTGTCGCCCTCGCGCATCCCTGAACCAGTGAACATTTATTCTGGCTGCAAGCGCAGCCGCCGTTAAACTCAAATTAAGAACAGAGCTAACGCGCGGCGCACGCAGCAGTACAGCGCAGCCCCAACGCTGGCACTAAACTACACAGCCCTACTACGCGTTGCGCCCTCAAGCTCTGCGCTCTACAAGGCCACGCCAAACGCTACCGCCTGCGCGCTAGTTCCCGTCTACTGGTCAGGGCATACTTTGCCAAAAATAGCCTACAGAAAAAACTCGGCGCAACTAAATGAGCTGCCGGCTGCGGCGTCCACGGCTTGCCGCCTCAAGTCTTTCACTTCTCAAGCAGATTGCGGTGGCCGCTTGCATGGCATATGGAGTAGTACCCACCGTTCTTGCAAACGCACTGCCCGTCCTTCCACACGCAGCCCCGATAACCCCAGCATTGCCGACTTCAGCGTAATAAGCCTTCCCTCAAAACCCAACCAGTTTGATGAAACTGGTAAATTAGCTTGACAAAACAACCAAGACGCAAACTAAAAACAGACACGTTCAGGCCAGCGTGCCCACTACATTGACCTTGATCCAAATAACCTTCAGGTTTGCGAGTCTCAACCAATTTAACAACGCGCTGTGCTCAGCAAGCTTCAGCCCATCGATTCGCTTAAGGCCCTGATGTTCTGGTTGTTTGTGTGGCCTGGTCTAAGGCCACGCTTGAAAGCAATAGTCGCTGCAGGTGGCTCCTGTTTGGTCGAGAGATGCGATACTTATTCGCTACCTTTGCCCAGCTTCAAAACGGTGGGTTGGCCTTGATGTGCCCTGACTGAAACGCCTGTGCAGGTTTGCCTTTGCTGCAAACACTCTTCAAGGATTGCAGCTTTTGGTACCTCTAAAACAAAATTTCTTTCTGGACGAGAGGCCACACAGTGTGGCTCCAGGGCTAGGCGCTTTCCTCCAAAGGGGTGTTAATGCTGGTGTTGCTGGGCACATTCTGAAACCCCAGGGGCCAACTCCCAATGAGAGCAAATATCTGGGTTGACCTCGCTGCTCCTTTGCGACGACGACCTCATTTGAAAAGTGTTCGGTTTTGGATGGGTGTGTTCTTCAAGTTCTTTAGCACCGTGGGCATGCTCGAGGTTCAGTCATAGCCAAGATCAAACAATCGTTGCCAGCTGCTTGTCCATCCAAAACCGAACAACTTTCCAGAATGCTGAAACAAGGGAGGGAGCCAAACATTTCTTTCCAGCACACAACCTCGTACGGTTCCTGATGCTGAGGCCAAAGCCCTGCCAACGCGGAGTCCCTGATGTCAGAGGACACAGCCGGGGCACCTGGCAGGCGAGGCAGTTGCAGGTGTCTGGAAACCGCTGCCCGTGTCTGGGAAACAACTGGTGCGTCTGGAAATCTTAAGTTTGCCAGACAGCATCGCAGCTAGCTTTTTCCACCTCATCTCAGCTCACTGCCCGGGCAGCAGGCTTTTACCTGTCCAAAGCTGGTTGGCACCAGCTCGTGTTTGCACTTGGCCGGCTGGCTTTTGCAGGGGCTCGGATACTCAGAGCTCTGGTACTCTGAGGCTCAAGGGCAGGCTCTGTCCAGGCGAGCTTTCTTTTTTGCCGTGAAGGTTTTCTTGAAGCGCTTGATGGCGTTGATGGCGGTGTGCTTTCTGGCTGGCTCTGCCACTTTGCCACAACCTGAGTTCCAAATGCAGGCGGATATTCAGCTGACTTCTGAAGCAAGTTCTTCACGCCCTTGAAGCACCTCTTTCCTGCAGAGTTTGTCCATGTCACAGTCAAAGCCTGGTGCTTCTGGCTCTTGCATGGGCATTGCCTTGCCAATTGTCTGATCCAGCCAGCTGATGCCACAAGCTTGTACTGCTTCCAGAGCCTGGTGCCGTCTTTGGACTTGTCGAAGGCACAGCGGCAGGTGGTGCACACAAAGGCCGTTAGCCGGCCCAAGGCCTGCTCCAAAGCCGGAAATCTGAACAAGGTGCTTGATGGAGGGTTTTCAATCACAACTTGCACGCCTCTTCGGTGAGCCACTTCCATGAGGATGGCACAGGCCAGCGCCATGATGTTGCCAAGTGCGACTGGAGCATAGATTGGGTTGCCCCTGAACTGGTTTGCAGAGCTGCGCTTGGTCCGTGAAATGTTCAGTCCAACCCATGAAGAGCAAACAGGAGCCAGCCAAAGAAGCCCCCCTTCACGCAGGCGCATGACCAGGCGCACTGCCCGGAAGAAGCCGTCTTTGGTTGTCATGTCTTCCGACATCCCTAGGTCCTGATCTGTGCAACCGCCAACGCGATGCTTGTCAAACCTTCCAGCAGCGAAGCCGGCGCGTTCGGCAGCAAGTGCAATGCTGCCCACTCCGCAAAACACTTCTGCCACATCTAGGTTGCGTGGAATCCCGGCAAAGTCCGTGCTCTGCAGGATGCAAAGGGCAGTCAAGCCAAACAAGGCGGCCATGGCGTCACGGGACCTGGGCCTCAGAGCCTCTGGGACTCTGAAACTATTTCCTAACGCTCAGCCTGAAGTGCACAAGAAACGGTGGCTCAAACCAATGCCCTGCAAAACCTTCCCGCAAAATGCACCAATTACCGTTTTCACTCCTGGGCGTGTCAGCACTCTGGCAGTCAGCTCTCAGTTGAACTTGACAAGCATTTGCCACGACACCCCCGGCAGATTTCGAAAGTAGGGGTTGTCCTTGGCAAAGTGCCATGCAATCACAACATGTAAATTTGTCAAAGCACGCTACTGAGGCTGCGGCAGAAGGCTCCAGCGCCGCACGCCTGTCAGCAGAGGCTGCCTCCAGGAACCCATCAGTGGAGCGAAGTGCGTCCCTCCCATTTGCGAGCAGGCGCAGC